ATGGCCCAAAATGCTTCTGTATGCGTTTTTTCTCCACCTCCTCTGATCTTACGGTTTTTGAACCGAGCTCAGGAGGAGGGATTGACAGCTCTCCTGGTGGCCCCGAGCGTGTGGGTGCACCATGGTTTCCAGTCCTGAAACGCCTGCTGTCAGGGTGCCCGTGGGAACTGCCGTAGAGGGAGGACGCTCCCCTTCCAGGCAGGAGGAGCGACCAGGAGTTACCCAGAAATAGGCCAGCACCTGTGGTCTGGCCGTTGAACAAATCCATTTAGAGGGGATGGGTTGCCCACAGGATGTAATGCGCACAATTCAGGTTTCTCGTGGTGCATCTACCACAGCGATGTACACATTAAAGCGGACAGCTTTTCAGTGCTGATGTACAGAGAAGGATGTAGAGGCCTCCTCATGTTCTTTAGGTGGCATGCTGTTCTTTCTGCAGCAGCTGATGGACAGAAATTTGCATCCAGCACGTTTAAAACGTATGCTGCAGCCATCTCTTCCTGACATGAAGGTTTCTGAGACAGAACAGGTTTTATCATCCGCTGATGAAACGTTTTCTAAAAGGTGTACAGAGACGCAGGTCTGTCTCACACCCACTTGTTTCCAGTGGGATTTAATACTGGTCCTGCAGGTCATGATCAAAGCTTCATTTGAACCTTTGGATCAGGTTCCACTTAAATTCTTGTCTCTTTAAACAGCCCTGCGGCTGGCTTTAACATCCGCTAAGAGAGTGAGTGTTTTTATCTGCCTTCTCTGTCGCTCCGTCATGTCTCAGAAATTAGGCTGACGGCAGATCAGCTGATTTTAGATCAACCCAGCTTTTATGCCTAATACATCACGAGCTCTTTTAATCAAGAGCGATATCGTTGGAGGGGTCGTCCCCCCCCCCTTTTCACACAGATCAGATGAAGTAACGTCTTTTTATCTTCTCTGTCCTGTGCGGGCATTGACGTGTTACATAGCGTGCACAGCTGCAATGCCTCAACATTTTTTTGTGCATTATAGAGATGCATCTGCAGGTCGCCCGTTATCCACCCAGCACTTGTCACACTGGCTGTGCGAGACTATTTCTGAAGCCTACAGAGCATCAGAATTAGAGTCTCCTGTCAACCTCAGAGCACACTCTATCAGGGGTATCGCTTTCTCGACTGCTTTACATAATGGTATGTCATTGCAGGATATTTTGCACTGTGGCCGCGTGGTCAACACCCTGCTCATTACTCGCCTTTATTTAGGTGATGTGACAGCCTGTTCCATGACACATTCTGCCCTTAGTGTTACAGAATGAATATTATTGTTTTCATGGAACTCCGTTGTACTCACATCTGTCTGCATGCATTACAGTGTGAGATGTTATCAGTCACAAGTTGTGACTGTTATTTGGTTCTATTGTCATTAATCAGTTCATGACTATTGTTACCAATCAGTTCATCTGATTAATAATCAACTCTCTTGTTATTATTAATCTGTTCATACGGTTCAGCCGTAAACTGGTTGGTTCGTGGCTCTTTTCAGCGTTTTTCCCTCCCCGTTGATGTTTCCGGGGCGTTCATGCATTCAGAATGCATAGTTACACAACATGCGTCTGTGCATGGCACATAATTACGCAATGCTTAATTATGCACATGGGAGCTGAGTGATTAGACTTTTTTGGGCAAGCTTCTGCTTCATACGGTGTTCGAATGGACCCAGTGAGGCGAGGACCACATCTGCTTCGCCCTTTACCCACTAAAGCGAAGGCCTTAAAGGGCGAAGCCTATACGAAATAGAACGTTGGTTACGTACTGTAACCCCAGATTCTATGAGTATAGGCGTAGCCCTTTAAGCGTCGGGCCTCACTGGCTCCTAAATGGCTGAAGAAAAAAGCTATTTTGGGAGCCGATTTCCCGCTCTTAACGTAATTTATACGGACCGGGTGGGGCCCACACAGCAGGTGGGCGTGGACTAAATTTTTCAGTGCTTATGCTGCGCATAACGGGATAAACTCACTAAAGCGAAGCCCTTAAAGGGCTACGCTTATACTCATAGAATCTGGGGTTGCAGTACGTAACCAACGTTTTATTTTATAGGCGACACTGTCAGGTGTTATAAGGTCACAATGCACCTTCAATTTTCTAATATTATTTTGTTGAAAAACATACCCTTGGACAATATCCTAGAAACAATACAAACTTGTTTTAAATGGCCATGAGGTAGTGCTCTGAAATATAAATGAAGTTCAGACGATTGTTGTTAAAACTTAAAAAAATCAGTAAAATCGGTTTCGCACTTGATTTTTTTTTGTTATTTTTTATTTAGTTTTATTTGTAACACAACATGCCGTTGTGATAAGCAATGGTGACACTCAACTGCATGTTGAAATATTAACTTTACACTGCCTGGCCAAAAAAATGTCGCCACCTGGATGTAACTAAGCAAAGGGGTACAAACCTCCTATTGGATAATTACTGCATGGGCGATTATTTTTCAGCTGACAAGTTATTTAACCCCAATTGGTGCAATGAGTTGCTTCTCATTTCTCAAACAACCATGTGGAAAGACACATGGCGTTGTCGTGGAAAAGATGTCAGTCTGTTTGAGAAGGGTCAAATCATTGGCATCAAGCAGAGAAAACATCTAAGGAGATTGCAGAAACTACTAAAATTGGGTTAAGAACTGTCCAACACATTAAAAACTGGAAGGATAGTGGGGACCCATCATCTTCAAAGAAGAAATGTGGCCGGAAAAAAATCCTGAATGATCGTGATCGGCGATCATTTAAACATATGGTGAAATCAAATGGAAGAAAAACAACAGTAGCACTCAGGACTATTGTAGTGTTTTCAACAAGGATGTTGGTGACACCGAGCTAAACCACAAATGAAGACCCTGGAGTTTAGTTGCAGCTTGTTTGTCTTCATGAACATGTGGTGAAAACTGAAATGACAACACACAGAAGCATGTTTACACAAATAGTGTATAAAACTCACTAAAACAACATTTTCACAAAATAAGCAATAATATCAAACCTCCTCTGTATAAACTTCAATACAATAAAGCTTACAGCGTTCCTGCCTGATAATTCAGCGTGGATGATATCTGATTACATTTCCATGCTGCTTCTTGCATGTGGACCTTTAATTTCTAGCAAAACTGCTCGACCGGAAGTCCGGAACCGGAAGTGAAAGCTCAAAACCGGAAGTGCACTTTACCAATGATATTTAAAACAAAAATCTTACTTAAAGCATGAATTGTTTATCAAAACAACTTACAATGATTCTAGTAACATAAGGATATATATTTTTCTCTTTTTACTCCTTTTAGAATTATTTATTTAAACCTATAAACTTATTTAATTAGAGAAATGCCTTAAGGGCAGCACAGCTAAAACAAAACAAAACAAAAAAATTGTAAACGTTTCGTCTTTCATCCGAAAGACTTCTTCAGTCTGAGGTGACTGAAGAAGTCTTTCAGATGAAAGACAAAACGTTTACAATTTTTTTTGTTTTTTTTTTGTTTCTTTTGAATGTCCAGAGGACCAGATTTAACTTTTTTAGATTTTTCTACCTGGATTATTGAGCATGCATCAGAAGACTAATCAGTGAGGCTAACCGGATAAAAAGGCTTCAATTTGCTAGGGAGCATAAAGATTGGACTCTGGAGCAATGGAAGAAGGTCATGTGATCTGATGAGTCCAGACTGACCCTGTTCCAGAGTGATGGGTGCATCATGGTTAGAAGAGAAGCAGATAAAGTGATGCACCCATCATGCCTAGTGCCTTGTCAACAATACAAGATCTTGGTGAAACATTAATGCAACACTGGATGGAAATAGATCTTGTGACATTGCAGAAGTTTATCGAAACAATGCCACAGCGAATGCATGCTGTAATCAAAGCTAAAGTCGGTCCAACGAAATATTAGTGTTTGACAGGTTTTTTTGGTGGTAACTTTTTTTTGGCCAAGCTTTCCAGAAAACTTGTGTTACTTGACTTCTTTCTTCCCAACATGATATTTCTCCTTCAAGATGTTCTCTATAACTCCTCAGCTGGACTTTTCAAATCTTAAGGCAAGATCTCGGCGCACACAAAACAGATGCGCTAGGCGCACCGTTTCGCACACACTTCCCAACACCCACACCCGCTGCTCAAGAGCTGACGTCACTAACGTAGCTGTAAGCTAATGCACAACACGGAGGTGTCACCCCCCTCCTCCCCAGCCCGACAACAGAACCCCCTGAAGAGATGAGCACCTGCCGCCTGCTAAGCTAGAGGAGGAACGCTGTTTCTTAAAGGGAAAATACTCCATCCACTGCGCCTATGATCACCGCTCCCTACCCACTGAAAAAAACCCTCTTCTGATCTGGACGATTCACGTAAATGACATATTTTAGTTTGAAATCGGCAAATTTTGTCAAAAAGCCACTAATTTGCAAGTAACTGCGTCACAGTCTTGAACTAAAAATGCATTCCTTCCTTGGTATCCTGATGCATGCTCAATAATCCAGGTAGAAAAATCTAAATTCCTTCCTTGGGTTCCTTTCTTTCACCTTTTCTCTCTTTTTGCTTTTGGCTGTCGACTCATCTCTAGTTTCACAGAGCGGTGCACCATAGCTAGCTTCACAGGCAGGAGCCGGTAGTGTTGGCTTTTCAAAATAAAGTAACATTTTAACGTTTCTTGATATTTAAATTTATTTCAGTTCTATATAAACCTTTATTTTGAAGGTATGGCGGCCTGAATTTTACCATGGCGGTGTGCCACAATCAATTTACATGTAGAGGAAACCCTGATGTGTGTGTGTGTGTGTGTGTGTGTGTGCGTGCGTGCGTGCGTGCGTGCGTGCGTGCGTGTAATTGTATAATATGAACTCATTGGTGGGCCGGACTGAAGTCGCCCACGGGCTGGAAGTGGCCCGCGGGCCACCAGTTGAATAGCCTTGGATTAGAAAAAGTGCATGAAGGTAGTAAACAGATTGTGATGATGTTATAATACTGATTGTTTTGTTTGCTCTGTCTTCATCAGGGATGCCTGCAGCTTATGACCTCAGCACAGTCATTGGCAGTGGCCCCGCAGTGTCTCACAACAACCTCATTCCTTTAGGTACAAATCTCAACCTCAACATCTCATGCTGAAGAGCTGTTCAGGATTGTTAGGTTATTTTTTTGTGTTTCACTTTTGACTTAACCGAAATGTTTACTTGAATTGAAGAGACGAGCTGTTCTGTTTTGTATTGGTCTAGTTCAAGGGTACTCAAATAAAAACGTCGAAGGTCCACAAAGACACTTTTCAGATAGTCAAAGGCTCATTTATTATAATTGGTAAAGCCAGAATACACTCTTGGTAAAAATAAAAATATCCATCCATCCATTATCTTTACCCGCTTATTCCATTTTGGGTCACGGGGGTCGCTGGTGCCCATGTCCAGCAATCACTGTGCGAGGGGCGGGGTACACCCTGGACGGGTCGCAAGTCCATCACAGGGACACATATAGACAAACGAGACAAACAACCATTCACTCTCCCACTCACACCTAGGGACAATTTAGAGTTACCAATTAGCCTAACATGCATGTTTTTGGTCTGTGGGAGGAAACCGGAGTACCCGGAGAAAACCCACGCATGCACGGAGAGAACATGCAAACTCCACCCAGAAGGCCCCTGGACCGGGGTTTGAACCAAGGACCTGCTCGCTGAGAGGCAGCAGCTCTACCAGTTGCGCCACCGTGCTGCCCAAAATAAAAAATAATAAAAGTTTATTTTCATTCAAAACAAATACACATACTGAAATAAACTGCCATTTTCGTTTAAATATAAATTTAAATACTAGAAAAAGAATCTAAAATACTTGCTAACATAAATCACAATATATTTTCAATTTAGCAAAAGAATCATCCCCTCCATAGAATAATTTTGGTAAACAAATACTCTCCAATGAGAGAAATGGCATGTTGTGTGTTTTACCAAGACTTTGAGCTCTGGCGCAAATGGAGTGACAGCCAGGATGTGCAAGTGTTCATTTGTGAGTTAAAAAAAAGTTGTAGACAAAAAAACAATTAGTGATATGTAACCATTTGTGAATAAACTGTGGTACTTGTTCTTGACCAAGTTCATTGTTGAGAACTTGGGAATTATATTTTTCTTTGGTCTGTTCCATAAGTTCTATTTCGTATAGGCTTCGCCCTTTAAGGCTATCGCTAGTGGGTTTATCCCTTCGCGCGCAGCGCAGCACTGAAAACTTAAGTCCATGCCCACCTGCTGTGTGGGCCTCACCCCCGGTCCGTATAAATTACGGTGAGACCGGGTAATCGGCTCCCATTTTTTTCTTCAGCCAGCTAGCTAGCACTGTCAGAAGAACGAAGAAGGAAAAGTTGTCCAGCTTTGACCAGCACAACCTTTGCTAAGGATGCCTGGGTCTCCACCACGCCAACCTCCTGCCGTCCCAGTGAGCCCTTCCTCCCCGAGGAGAAGCAGAGACGAGCAGCCTTGTTCAAGGTAAGCGTCGAGGAGTGTTTTTTCCGTGGTGGGCCGCTACTCGCTGGACGACACCATCACCTTTTCTAACGTTTTTTCCTCGCGGTGAATCGGATAATTCCCTCGAAAAAGGCGATGCGGGCAGCAGCTCCACTGAGTGTTTTTTTCCATGGCGTGACGCTACGCACGGGACGACGTCACCGCCTTTCTTTGACGCAGAGTCACGCAGTGAATCGGATGACTCCTCCGAGAAAGGCGATGCTGGAAACGGCCTCGCTGCCCCTTCCCTCCTGGAGAGCGTAGTGACGGAAGAAGAGCAGTCGAACGGATGCTCAGCCACCTCGGGTCTTCCCAAGTCGGCGACCACAACGGTCCCAGCCGTCGGCGCCCTCCTCTCGGAGTTGCCCAGCATAATCCAGGAGGCTGCTAACACAAGGGACTTGCCGTCCCTCGCCTCCCTCTGCCGTGATCGGATGATCTGGCGGGAAGGTTTGGCTCCGCCCCGGCTCGTCGTCCTGATCCCATCTGGCCTCGCTGTCCAGCTGTGACATCACATTGGAACGAGGTTGCAGCTGGGCCCGGCAAGCTGAAGACATCCGTCTTCACCTTCGCCGCCATCTCTAGAGTGGAGGGTTTTTACCGATCAGTGTTTTTTTTACCTCAGTTCTCCCCCCTGGAGCCAAGCCTGGTGGAGGCGCTTTTTGGCAAAAGATACCAGGATGGACCAGCAACCTATACCTTCAGGAAAGCATGACCAGAGGGTGACAAAGCTCTCCAACCGAGCTCACCAGTTCACATCCCAAGCAGTCGCGGTGAACAACAACATTGCTCTGCTGGCCTACAGCACCTCAAAGAGGCTGGAGAAAGTAGACCTGCTGGAGGAGACAAAGAGCTCTCTCTTTAAAGCCGCTAACTTTATCTTAAACGTGTGCCACCTCTGCGGTCTGCCTGTTCCGCATTGCCGCCCAGATGACCATGATCCAGAGGACCACCTGGCTCTGCCTCTTGCCATCCTTGTCCGAGAGGCTGCAGAAAGACCTGCTGGAGGGCCCCATCACCCCAGAGGTGCTGTTCAGGGTCAACTTCAGGACCATCCTTGAGAAATCGCAGATGTCCGAGGAGGTCTCAGAGACTGTACACCATCTGGTGATGTCACAGTCCTCCTCCCGCCCCTCCGGCCGCTGGATGGACTGCCTTGGCCAGCAACAGCAGCAGAGGCGCTCCACAGCTGCGGCAACGATTTTTACGTTCCAGTCCTCCGCCGGCCCCCTCCACCAGGTAACAGATCTTTGAGGGGAATGTATGTGTTTTTTGATTATGTATGTTTTGATATAAAACAGAAACACCTCTGAAAGTAAAGTTTTCATCTGAGACTGTCAGATCAGCTGATCTCACAGCTGCCTCTTTTCACACATTCCCCACACAGAACGAGCCAGTAACCTCTAAACAACGTTTTAAATGGCACAGCAGTTCAGTAAATATCACAAAACACTCATCTGCCACGTCAGCTAAAATTTTGTTTTTTTCAGCAGACCGAGTCCGGTAAAACCCCTCGTTTTCAGCCAGTGCCTGTTTTTAATTTCTGCTGTTTTCTGCCCACTCACAGTGCAGCGAGAGTAAATGTGTTTCTCCATGACAGCTGCAACCTCCACCAAAACGGCGTTTCACTCAGAAAGCGCTCACGCCTCCTCTCAGTGCGCACCAGCTCACCTCAGCTCTAATGTGAGACCGCAGCCTGGGCTCAGCACAGAGGCACACATACAGCCCTTTTGTCTGTTGGAGCCCTCCTTGGGTTCCCCCCGTAGAATCTCCGGAGCGAGTGATGGCAGTAAGGCTTTTTAGTCTGGTTGACATTCATGAGAAACATGACGCAACACAAATGCGTGCCTGCTCTCAGAGCGTTACTCAGAGTGGCAGCATGTTCCCTGGACAGATGGATGGAGCAGGGGTTACACGCTGCAGTTTGCAGCTCAACCCCCACCGTTCAGAGGGATTATAGAGACGGTTCTGTCTTCTCCAGAACAGAGCTCGTCTCTCCAGTCAGAAGTTCAGGAATTTCTGACGAAAAACGTGATTTCCAGAGTTCCCAACGAAGAGGAAAATATGTTGGGTTTTTTTCCTCCCACTACTTCCTGGTTCTGATAAAAAAAACGGAGGGATGAGACCCATTCTCGACCTGTTCAGATTCAGCAATTTGATCATGGGGAGACAATTCCACATGCTAACAAACAGCTGCTGGAGAGCTTCACCAGAACGACTGGTTATCACCTCCATAGATCTGAAGAGTGCATATTTTCACATTTCCGTCATTCTGAAACTCCCCACGCATGTTCTCGAAATGCGTGGAGATGGCTCTCCAGTCGTTACACATGGCATGAATGAGAATTCTTTTTATCTGGACGATCTGCTCTTATTAGCTCGGTCCAGTTAGAAAGCAGTTGCACAGACCAAAACACTAGTGTTACACCTGCTTCACCTGGGATTTTCTATAAACTGGGAAAAAGTTCCGTTCGTCCGTCCCAGATGATTGTTTATCTGGAAGTGGAGCTAAACTCGACTACAAGGAGAGCCCGTTTATCAAAGCTGAGAGCCGAAGCTCTGTCAGCTCAGCTCCGCCGTGTCAAACCCAGCTCCGCCATGTCAAACTCTATAGCATAGTGACAGCTCTGCCTGTCATGCGACTCCTGGGACGATGTCAGCGGCCCACATCATGGTTCGGCTGGGCCTACTTCACATGAGACGCCTTCAGAGATGGTTCGCCTGCCTGCACATAGATCCTGTGCGCCAGAAAAGGCGGATTATCTTTGTGCCCCCCTCCGTGAGAACCGATCTGAATCACTGGGGAAACCCCGTCATTCTGTCAGAGGGAGTTCCCATCAGCAGGCCTACGTCACATGTTTCAGTTTTCACAGATGCGTTCCTGCCAGCTAGGAGGAATGTGTCTGTCCCAGGCAGTGGAAGCACAGTGACTGGACCACATGTTGCTTCACATAAATATGCTAGAATGTTTTCACGGTCTGAAACGTGACTCAGCATTTTGCCTCTGTTGCGGGATCAGCATGTTTTGATCCACACAGACAACAAAGTGACGACATTTTACATAAACCGTCAGGGAGACATCCGCTCAGCCCAACTGTTAGGCATTGTGAAACAGCTGTTGTGTTGGGCACACAAAAACCTGCTCTCCATCAGAGCAGTGTACATTCCCAGCATTCCTGAACAAGCAAGCGGATATCATGTTGAGGAGCGGTCCCCGCCACAGATACTGGAGCCTCCATCCCGAGCTGATCTCTCGGATTTGGAGCAGGTTCGGCTGAGCAGCAGTGGATCTGCCACACGGGATAACGCCCAGTGTCATTTATGGTTCTCACTGAGCCCACTAGACGACCCACCGTTAGGAGTGGATGCCTTCGCTCACAGCCCGTGGCCAAAAATGCTCCTTTATGTGCTTATATTAAGTGGACAGCTTTTCAGCGCTGGTGCACGGAGAAGTCAAGTCAAGTCATATTTATTTATAGAGCACAATTTAAAACAGA